CCCTGCTCTGCAGTCACATGCACAGCACACAGATGTAGTGCCCTGCTCTGCAGTCACATGCACAGCTCACAGGTGTAGTGCCCTGTGCTGGTTCATCTTCCAGGACACACTGGCACAGCGAACTCCCTCATGGTTTAAGATATCAAAGCTTAATCCAAGAAAACATTTTAAATCAGGACACTAAGTTTGACTAGAGAAGCGCACTTGGGTAGTCTGTACTTAAAATCAAAGGAGAATCCCATCTACAAACCCAACTCTTTGAAAGACGTGTTTAGGCAAGCATGACCAAACAAAGAGGGTTGGGACGTTTGAAGCAGGTAGCTTGTTAAAGGACTCTCCTTGGAACCAACACGATCCCCAGAGGGAAGAAGGAGGGCTTCTGGCTTTGGACATTATCGTCAGTCCTGGTGAAATGCTTCCATGCCTGTAAGGTGCTATTGCAACTACAGGAACCAGGTGATGGGACGTGAAAACACAGTCAAAGCCAATACGCCGGTACTGACCTCAGGAACTCTTTCTAAATATAATAGTTGTTTTATAGGCTTCTTTATTCCCTCCTGCTGGGAATTATTCTAAAGAGCCTCATCGGACAGACGGTGCCATAAAAATGAGGTACATGTTCAGACACCACATAATCGACCTGAAGCATTTGTACCAAGAGTAAATATGAAGCAATCGCTACATCCTCTTTAGTACTTGGGGGATTTCCCCCTTTCTTCCCTTTTATGTGCTCATTCAAATTCAGTGGCAGAGGGACCTCGCACATGGGAATGTGAAAGTCAAAAAGACGGGAGTCCCTGTTTCCTTGCACCAGGGTCAGACAGATTCCATAATTCTTCCAACTATAACTCTAGGTTGACCCAGATGATCTGTGGCCAGCGTCTGCTGAGGACTGTGAGCTGCACTGATGGTGGCTGCCCATTGGAACTCTTGGATGTAGTTGGCTGCCACACACACAATTTCTCAATTCTAAGGTCCTTGAAGATGTCACCACTAATATATATATTTGGTTTCGACAATAACGTGTGCGTGACCTTTCCATCGGCACAAGTGAGAACAAACTGTGATTCTTGAGCGGAGAGCCCTGCGGTTTTGAGAACTGCTTCTCACACTGTCTCCACAGTCTAACTAATGGACCGTGGTCATTAGTATTGGCCAGGCCCTGTTGAGTCTGCTAGGAGATCAGCATGGACTCAAAACTTAGGGTTGAGGCCGGTTTCATGAGTCTGTGCCATCAAGTTGATTCTGGATTCTGACTCAGTGACTCTATTGGTCAGAGTAGTGTTGTATCTTAGGGTTCCCGAGTCTCTAAATCTTTAAGGGAGCAAACAAAATTTTCTTCCTACAGTGTCTGGTGGCTTTGAACCATCAACCCACTGTGCCACCAGGGCGCCATCCTTTAATATACCCAAACCTAAAAGCCACAGCCATCGAGTTCATTCTAATGCATTATCAACTCAAGAGGACAGGGTAGCACTGCTTCATTCAAGACTGTCCATCTTTAGGAGTGTAGGCAGTCTCCTCCCTTTTCTGCCATACAGTAGCTGGTGGGTATGGACTGTCAACCTTCCAGTTAGTAGCCCAATGCTTAACTCACAGTGCTGCGAGGACCCCATCTTTCACACACAGAGGATGAAAACAAAGGAAGTTAACTTTTAAAATGTCAATGTCACTAACTTTTAAGTTATTCAGCTGAACCAAAGGATCTTCATTATTAAATGAACGAGGAAAGGCCTTTGTCAGTAAAATTAAAGGAAAACATGTCCTGTAAGCTCAGTTGATTGAATGACAGAACACAAATCATTTAAAGAAACCATCCGCTGTGCTTTTGTTCATTCCAAAGTCACACAAGGAGTACCTAGAGTAAATATTTGAGGAATACTATGAACCTGGTCAAGAACTAGAATGAATTAGTTTCATTTTCTGAAACGAGATACTGGATTGGGAAGATTAATACACACGTTATGCACTGTTGATGTCAAGGTTAATTAATACATTTTGGGAGGCCTCGGGGACACTTGCATCAACTAATAAGTGTACTCAATTTCTGTGCCATGACTATTCTACATTTTAACATTTATTTTGGGGAAATTGACCTAAATGTAAAAGGAGAGGTTTGTGAATGACATTGTTCATTATTTATTTTTTAAATAATGTTCAAAAATTACCAACATTCTTAAGGCACAACCACTAAGCATGTCTATTCTAGAGCACAGAGCAGGAGTGGATACATTATTCGATTCAGTATGAGGACGATTCATCTTGGATCCTATCTTGGAGTTAAGAGCTAGAGCACATCAAAAGAAATCACGTTCAGGCTATTTCTTCTGAGGCTTTCTTCTGCCACATACCCAAGAGATACGTGCATCAGGATGACATGGCTAGATTTCATGATTAAAAAAGATCATTTTGGCTTCATCATTATACTGAGCAGCTCATATTACGAAAATAAAGCAATGATAAAGTTTGAACCCGAGGTCACTGACAGAAGTGAAACTGTTTAAAATTCCAAACACTCTTTTGTGTTAAGATAAAACTGCAAAAAACAAGAGCTTTTAAATGAATCTAGGGAGATGTTTTTGTTTACTAACTTCTTGAATTGCGGTGTAACCTTGAACTACATTCTTAAGTCTCTGCCCCTTGCTTTCTACAAGGACCCAAGTAACTGCCACTGACCCGAGTCAGACTCACAGCACTGCCCCACAGGGATTCTAATGCTGGGAACTCTGATGGAAGCAGACTGCCTCACCTTTCTCCCAGAGTGACTGGTGGGTTCAACTGACAGGTATTCTGGCAGGCAGCAGGTCACCGTGACACCAAACAAAGATGGAGAAGACAATACTGCACTCTCAGATTATTTTGAAGATTGAAGGAATATACAATTTTTTGTTGATTTTCATTGACTGGATAAAGTTAACTGCTGTGATAAATGCCAAAAAATAGCAAAGTGCATCTGGACAAATGGTAGGGGATCTCGGTTGATATATATTTGCCCCAAGCTACTGTTTAAACGGGGAATATTTGGGTTTGCACACAGGCTTACTCAAATGTAGTACATTAAATGGAATTACTCTGTGAGATCATTATCAAATTAAGAAGAAAAAGGAACACATTTTTAAGATTGCAAAAAAAAAACTGCAAAAAAGTAGGCATTTAGGATTGGCTTAAGCAATTTATTCAAGATAATTTTAATTATTTCAGAAGTGCACATTTTAAAAGCAGGCAAAGTGTTTGTGTCAAGCTCAATTTACAAAATGCCGGAGATTTGCTTTACCTCCTGTATATCTGATGACTTGATTCTACTGAATCAAGAGCAGCACACCCCACTGGAGGCTCAGCAAAGCACTTAGCATTCTGCCCCCACATTTTAAAGAAATGGACACTGACCATTTATCTATTACATGGGCATTTTACTGAGATAGTCACTTGATTATATAACTATCCAATTTAGTTTTTTAATATATTTTAAAGTAAGTTTCATAAATCACTCCATTTTCCACCCGTTCTTTCTCTCCCCCATTCCTCCTTGCCTCCCTCCCTCCCTTCTTCTTTCTTTTTCCTGAGACCACATTCACAACCTGAGATAATCATGTTGTTGACAAAATTCATGTTGTGAAGTGTACCACGGAGAGCCAGAAGAACAATCAAATCTGTTTTGGAAGATGTATGATGCCCTGCCCCTTTGAAGAGAGGATGGTGAGGCTTTATCCCACGTACTTTCAACATGGTATCAGGAAGGACGAGTCCCTGCAGGAGAACATACTATGTGGTAGTCAGGAAAACAGAGAAAGATCGTCAGAGATACGGACTGTCACAATGGCTGGACACAATTGCTGCACCAGGGAGTTAAACCATTTAACAGGCAGTGAGGATGGGCAGGAGCCGCAGTGTTTCCTCGAGCAGTGTTGTGGATACCATCACGATGAGTTGAAACCAACTTAGTGACACCTAACAAGTGTGCTTCACCCTTGTGTCAACCTAAGTCCCTCTTAAGATAGACAGCAATACTAGCACCCCAGAGTCAAACACTGCCCTGATGTCTCTCTACTACAGCATAGTCTAGCCCACGTTTGTAGAAGGCTATTTTACATTGCAGTGTCTGTGATTTATCTAGATGGCAGTTGAGTTAGGGGATGTTTTCTGT